GCACCCTAACCACTGCACCACCTCGGCTCATTATGTGTTTTAGTACCTTTTAGTTATCTCACTTTTTTTTTTCTTCTGTATTTTGTCTTTCACTCCCCTTCCCTTACTATTGTAAGCCGCCCTGAGTCCCCTCAGGGAAAAGGGCGGCCTATAAATGCTAAATAAAATCTAAAAAAAAAAAAATCTAAATCATTAAACTAGACATACCCAATTCCTGCAACCGTTCTTCCTATATTTTAGTCTCCAGTCCCCTAATCCTTTTTGTTGCTCTTCTCTGCACTCTTTCTAAAGTCTCTGCATCTTTTCTACATCGTGGTGACCAAAACTGAATGCCATATTCCAAGTGTGGCCTTACCAAGGCCTTATAAAGTGGTCACGTGATCTTGAGTCTATCCCTCTGTTTATGCAGCCTAGAACTGTGTTGGCTTTTTTGGCAGCTGCTCCACACTGTATGAGAAGCGGGGAGAAAACCACTTTATTTGGAGCAACTTTTAAGATGGGTGGACTTCCAACTTTTAAGATGGCCGGCTGGGGAATTCTGGGAGTTGAAGTCCCTCCGTCTTGAAGTTGCCAAGGTTGGGAAATGCTGATGTGGAGAGAGAGTGCAACGGGAGTGGCAGAATGTAGCTTTTCAAAGCACATAGAGCATTAGCAATGGTGGCGAATATCTGTAGCTCAGGTGTAGGATGAGCCAAAAGCCCAGAAAACGAACCTTCACGCTCCTAGAATAATAGGGTGGGAAGGGACCTTGGAGGTCTTCTAGTCCAACTCCCTGCTTAAGATGGAGGCTCTACACCAGCAGCCCCCAACTGGTTCCACAGATTGGGAGTGAGGGAACCCCTGTAGCAGAATGGTAAAATCTATTTATTCTGGACTTATTTAGTAATGGAATTGTCTTTTTTCGGCTTTCTAGGCGGTCCTTGGTCTGTGGATGACATTTTGACAGAAGATGACGAAGACGATAGGGTGCCTCTCCAGAAACTTCAGCTATTGAGTAAGTTTTTGGCATAAAATAAAATGAGTATCCTACAGTTAAGGAAACTTTTCTCAGGGTTCCAAGTAGCACCCCCAACGAAAGAAGACCACGAGGCTTGAAGTTCCTCAAAAGTCTCCGAAGTGGGGCGTGGGAGGAGTCACAGCTGGGTATTGTCACGGCCCATCTGCCCGGAGACTGAGGTAAGTCTCCAAGGTGGGGTGTGGGAGGAGTCACTGAATGGGTATTGTTACGGCCCAGTTGCCTGGAGACTGAGGTAAATCTGAGGACACTCCCTCTGTTCCTCCTGGTGACTTCTACATGGGGCTGCCCTTGAAGAGTGTTCGGAGACTGCAGTTGGTCCAGAATGCAGCCGCGCGAGCGATATTGGGTGTACCTCGGTACACTCATGTTGCACCTCTCCTCCGCGAGCTGCACTGGCTCCCCATTAGTCTCCGGACGCGCTACAAAGTGCTGGTGATTACCTTTAAAGCCCTACATG